TTCCCCAGCCAGCTGTGCTGGCTGGGGAATTCTGGGAGTTGAAGTCCACAGGACTTAAAGTCGCCAAGGTTGAGAAACACTGCGACTAAGAAATGAGTTAAGTGTTTCCGTGTTGCAATGCTTTTGGGAATGTATAAGAATGTGTGCTTCGATAATGAAGGTGGTTCAGACCTTGCAATGCTAAGCCATGGGCTCGCTTTCTGAACCTGGCTGCCAAATAAACTTTTCCTGTATCCTGAGAAAGTCTAACGCCTGCCATTTTCTGCAACAACATCATCGGGGCGAGGAGAATTGGATTAGAAGGCTTTTAAGCACTGATGATGTTCCCTAGTTGGGTCACAAAATGTCTACAAGCTCAAGATACCACGGCTGACTGGGGAATTTGGGGAGTTGAAGTCCGCCCGTCTTCAAGCGGCCAAGTTTGGGGGGGCCCTGCTGTCGGATAACCTTGATGTCCCCCTCCCGCTCTCTGCTCTCTCTCCCCCTGTCCATCTTTTCCGGTTGCCATTTCGGTGTATTATTATCGTCATGTTCTCTTTCGTGAGATCATTTATTTTGTGGCTCTTATTATTTTACTTCTGGTTACGTTCTTTTCATGTCGTCCTTTTCGTTGTCGGGGGCTGCCTGCGGTGGCCCCGTGGCGATATAGGCGACAAATCAATCAATCAATCAATCAAATAAATAAGCAAATAAAACAAATGTCTCGTTGTGCATCTTCATCTTGCTCTTCAGATGTTGGAAAAGGTGGGACACTGCAACTGTCATAAATATGATCTAATTGCCAAGCGTCTGAAGTTTCATCACACGACCACAGAAGTTATGCAACGGTCGTGTTTTTTTGTCTTTAGTCCAGGATTGAAGACTGCAGGACCCAAGCCACACCAGTGTAAAATAAATGTATTTTTTAAAAATTTGTGTTAATAAAGCTTAGGGATGGTATTTTCTATCAAATTTAGCATTATACGTCATGCTTTTGGGCTAGAAAGGGTAGCAGGAACCTTCCAAGAGTTTGTTTTGCCGAAAAATTCTAATTTGCAAACTTTTTTACGATGTTAATTTGATGATTATTATTAATAATTCAAAACATTAAGGGTTTTTGTTTTTTTAGTTTTATACAGTTCTTGCGAAACTTGATTTGGATAAAAGTGATTGAGAGGAGGACATTGAATGCTATGCTGCATCCACTGACAACCAAGCTCTGAGAAATAAAAAAAAAATCCAACTTTTTGTATTGATCTTATAAAGCAGAGGATTTGGCAACTTTAAGACTTGTGAACTTCAAGTCCCAGAATTCTCCAGCCAGCTGTGGGGGTCCTTGCTGGCTGGAGAATTCTGGGAGTTGAAGTCCAACAAGTCTTAAANGCAACTAAGCGGGCGGGGAAAGTCGCCCTGAAGCCCCGCCCACTTTTCGGGAGGGGTCCCACTCCGCAGGGAGGGTTTTGTGTTGCTCTGCCCTTAGGGGCCATCTTGACTTTTTTGACCGCTCTGCGGGCAGCCCCGCTCCAGCCAAAGCTCGGAGGGGCCGCAGACGGATTTCCCCCCAAGCCTCGTCCGAGAGGCGCCCATCCTTCGCCGCCCACAACCCCAGGATACAGACGGGGCTCGGCGGAGGGTCTCCGGGGCGCCCCAACCTTGCGGGAGGGGGAGAAGGAAGGAAGGAAGGGGACCCCCACACACACCAGAGCCGGTTGGGCACCGCAGCGACCCCCCTGCGCTGTCCGCCCGCTGGTCCTGAAAGCCCCTTGAAAGCCCCTTCTGGACGTCCTCAAGGCTTCAGGTTGCAAGGTTGGAGCGCCCCGCTGTAAAGGAGAGGGAGAGAGGGCGCCCTCTGGGCGTGTGCAGAGTGCTTTTCCGCCCAGCCTCCCGGGAGGGGCTCTGCAGGCTGCCCGGGAGGGGCCGGGCAAGGGAAGGGGCTAAGGAGGGGGAGAGGGGAGGAGGGATCCGCCCAGGGAACGGAGGGGAGGGGCCAGTTGCCAGGCAACCCTGTACACAATGGGGGCCGGAGAGGGGAGGGGGGGCAGGAGGCGGCCGTCTCGCTGCCCGGCTCAGTGCTGTGCTGCTCCCGCGGGCGCCTCTACGGTCCGCCTTGCGCCTGGTCTCTCTGCGGTCCGCCTCCAGGTGGGTGCCCCCCCATTCGGCGAGGGATCGAGGGGGGGATCCCCGGCTCCTCTTCCCCCCCCCCCGGACCTCCTTCGCACAGCCCGCTCTGCCCCTGCCTGGCTCTCACGACCCCCGACCCATTTCGGGGGAAGCTTGGTCCGCGCTCGGGGGGGCGGGGAGGCCAACGATGGGGGGGGGAGGTTCCCCTGCACCCCACAACTGATGATCTTGCCGAGCCCCCTGCAAGTCGCTGCCGGAGCTGGACCCTCCAGCCGGGGAAGGGGCGGCTGGACTCCCCCCCCCAGATCGGGAACCTGCTCCGACCACCAGATCCCAATTAAGATCCCTTCCCCCCCATCTGGGCTGGGCTGCGGACTCCCCCCCCTCCCTTCCCCATCCAGCNAAGATTGAGGGCAAAAGAAAAATGAGATGAGAATGAGATGGCTGGATGGAGTCACTGAAGCAGTCAGTGTGAGCTTAAATGGACTCCAGAGGATGGTAGAGAACAGGAAGGCCTGGAGGAATGTTGTCTATGGGATCATGATGGGTAAGATACAACTTTGCAACTAACAACAAAAAATATATAGGGCATCTCTTTCTGGATGGATGTTCCCCAAATTAAGTGACTGTCTTCTTGTATCAACCAATAATTTGTTCCATTATGTTTAAGTATAATTATAAATCTGCATTTGCTATCTGATTTCTGGTTGGTTTAACATGCTATTCTATTTACAATATTACTATATGATTCAAATTCTTGGAATTTAAACCTATTTTTAAAATTAACATTTTTCCACTCTGCTTTCAAGGTACATTCACCACCATCAAAATGAAACCATCCAAAATTGGCACCTGGCTTTTAAAAACAGAAGTTGGAGAATATCAGGAAAGAGGAATGAAGGCTCTTTTTACTGTCATTGATAAAGGTAACAGAGCTTAACCATACTAATTTTACAAGGCACATCAGCTTCACTAAAGTTTGTGCTACAGAAAAAAAGGGGTGGGAACCAGTTCTGAGATCCCAGGTTTTTTTTAAATGGATAACATGTAGATGACATCACTAGCACATTCCCTAGTTAGCAGGCATTGGAAATATTTCCAGGATTTGGGGGAAGGCACATGTCCCATTATAATATCAATACTATATAATCTGCTTGTGTCTTTGCCTCTTCCTAGCTGCACATACTTAAGATAGGTACTCTCCTGTTGGGTTTAATAAGGAGTAGTCTGCTTAATGCCAGAATTTAGGAAAATGTAATAAAACACCACCATGCTGTCTGTTCTCCCTCTGCAGATTGTAAATTACCAATGGGGCTGGAAAGTGGGATAATACAAGACTCACAGATCACTGCTTCAGATCATGTTGGTAGGTTGAATTTTAAAGCTGTTATGCCAAAAATCTTGTTATTTCGGAAATCCTATATCCATAGGTTCATCTACCAAATTGTGTGGCTCTAATGAACACCCAATTCTATAGATTAAATTACACATGGGGCATATTTTATTTATATGGTGCTAGAAATAATTGTCTCATAATATCAAGAGGCGAGAAAAGATCATTAATTATCAGTATATATTGGGCTCCCAATACCTAGCACACAGTATTCAAAGCATTTTTGGAACATTTCAGATTTTTTTTGTTTCTGCTTCTTGGTTCCAATTCTTTTATAACAGACATTTGATAATTGATAATTTTTATCAGTATTTTTGACCTTGGGCCATTCATCTTCTCTTAGCCCAACCCACCTCACAGGGTTATTGCTGTGGAAAAAATAGGAGAAGGAAGGATTGTTAGGTATGTTGCTTGCCTCAAGTTATTTGTAAAAATAATTAAAGTGGGATACAAATAAATATAAATTAAAAACTAAAAAAAATATTTCATGCTATGAAAATAATATTTTTTTTACAATTTTTAAAGTAAAAAATGAAAATCACCATGGAAAGCAGCTGTATCTTTTTGACGTTGTTCTGCAAAAATTACTTTTCCATGTTTCTGTACAGGATATTGGGAGCCTAAGCTAGCAAGACTGAATAATGGTGGAAAATATAATGCTTGGAGCATCATAAAGAAGGAAAATGAACATCCATGGATTCAGGTACAACAATTAATTGCAACACCACAATGTGATTTGGTTGTGGAAATCATCATGGAATGCACTACTATTTTTGAGGCATTAATAATATTAACATTTTAATCAGTGGTGGGTTGCCAATTTTTTTTACTACTGGTTTGGACGTGCTTCCGTGTGCGCAGAAGCGTATGGGCGGGTGGGCAGAGCCCGATCCAGGCCAAACTGGGAATAACCTATCTCTGATTTTAATATTAAAAT